AAAAAAAAAAAAAAAAAAAAGCAAACCAGGAGAGAAAGTAAAAAAAAAAAAAACTAGCAATACAGATTCAATCAACAAACACGAAGGAAAATACTAACCTTTTTGAATAACAAAACACAAACGGATTCTATGAGAGCGAGAGAGAGAGAGCGAGAGGGAGAGAGAGAATTTGTTTATCGATGGGTTTTGGGAGAAAGAGGGAGAGAGACTAATCTTGTTTGTTGTTCCGGACTCGAGTCACCAACTGGGTCCGAACTAAATGAGATGAGAGTGAAGCTTGTCATTTGTCAACAAGGATTGGGCTTGTTTTATTTAGAGACTTTTCAGTCCAGCCCAAACCATTATCCAAACTCCAAGCACAACACAAAGGAATTAGTTCGTGACCCAAACCATCAATCCGCTTCTTCTTTCTTTTTGATCATTTTTCTGGGCACCAAACTTTAGGTTTGGAACCGTTGTCGAAACTTAATTTCGCAGGTTTGAACTTCGTCATTCCCTATCATACAATAATGCCCAACAACTAAAATAAAAAACATCTATTCATTACAAATAAAATATAAAAAAAAATTATAATTCTTGGTCCATAAATGTAGGTACGGGATACCAAAATGAATATATTATATCGAATCACGTTATATTTTTATTGTTTTCATATCTTTGATTTCTTATCTTTCAATAAATATTATTTGTGTTAATTATTCGTTATGCAAAATTAACAAGTGATATCAGAGCTATGTTGCAACTAGTGGTATCAGATCTATGTTCCACCATGTAGTATCAGAGTTATATTTCAACAAGTGGTATTAAAGCAAATTGATGATCCTGGTAGAACAAGAAGAGCTTGATTGACGATCTTGGTGTAACAATCAAAGCAAGTTGTTGGTGATTCAATGATGTTAATATGCATGTTGAAGAAGACTCTCTTGTCACGTCTGTACAATTTATATTTTTGTTTAGATTTATAAGAAAAAATTTAAAGTTGGTACAAAACCAAACGAAAGACTATTGTTTTTTGATTATTTGAATTTCAAGAATTATCACACGTGATGTGTTGAAGATGTTTTTTTAAGATTTTTTGGGTTTGTTTCCAAGACAACTAATATGAAACAAAAAACAAAAACAATTGTCAAACATATTTTTATTTTAATTTTTGACAAAAATTAAAAACAAAAACATAAAACAAGAGAAAAAAAACAATTACCAAACAAAATCTAAGTTGTTTCCTGATTATTTGGATTTCAAGAATTACCACACGTGTTGTGTTGAAAATGTTTCTTTAGGATTTTTGGCTCTTAGAGTTAAATTCGCGGTATTCCAATGATTTGTGAGCTATTGGGCTAATATAAACTCAGTAGTGATGATGTGGTGTCTCATGGGTTACAAGTCATTGGACTTTACCTTTGAATGGTGAAACATTGACCATTGAGACCTCCCAATAACAGGTAAGACATGGACAGAGATGCACAGATGTGTAACCCAAGACATAAGTTCTTGAAAGACATAAAAGATTGTGACAACTCTGAACAGCATGTTTGCACGGGGTGTGAAAAAATTGGTGGATCAAAATTAGTGGTGCTAAGCCCGATGCTAGGTATGACCAAATTTGAAGAGTTTGGTTCAATAGAGGCTGTTGAAATTTGACTCAAACTCTCTAATCGTAATGAAAGTGAGTTTGTTGGGTAATCAATTTAAGAGGCCTAATAAACCATTGATATGTTTATTAGTGACCTAATCAAATATGATTATTTTGAAAAAGTTTTAATATAGCAGGTATATTAGACATGTACATGTGATAGGAAACATAAATATTGATTTGTATCTGAATATGTTTGGGTTATAAAATTTTATCCCTATAAATAGGGTTGAATATTATATAATCAGCTACTAGATAATCAGTTTTTCAGTGAATAATATATCAATGTAGATTCTTAATCCGTGGATGTAGGTACATTGTACCAAAGTGGGTATGCTGTATTGAACCACATTATCTTTTTTGTGTCATATTTTTATTGTTTTCCTATCTTAAAATTTGTATCTTCTAATAAATATTATTTGTGTTAATTATTTGCTGTACAAAACCAACAAAATTTTTGTAGACTAGAAATATATATACATTCACATGCCCAGGTATATGGGTCTATGGAAAATTTTGTAATAAGTTCCTAATGAATGTTTTCCTATAGCATGTAGTATCGATATTAGATAGACAGATAATTAAATGATATAAAGTGACACAGTATATATCTAACTAAATGAACTATTATTTTTTTTTGGTTCAACGAGATAAATGGTGTTTGAATCAATTTACGTGTACTTCAACTAATCTTCTCTCCGCTCCGACCAAAAACAAGTTATCAATATCGAAACTAGGATATTCATAAAATTTGAACTCAAGATACTTGAATTTATAGCTCGCACCTGTTACCACTTGAAATTAACGAAATTAACTATCATGAGCAAGAAATTGAGCATTGCGAAGTCAATTTTTTTAATTAACACATACACATATATATACTAGCAATACACAACGTGCTTTACACGTAAATAAATTTAAACAATATTATTTTTATAAAAATCGTGAATTTTATATGTAATTAAATTAAATAAAATTAAGTACCAAGTAATTAATTCATATTTTAATTATTAATTTAATCTATAAATTTTTGAATACCTAATTAACTTAGCATTTGCACATCAAATTAAATTATAAAACCATTAATTTTTATTTTTATTTTGCTAAATACATTGATTTGATCGTTTATAATATTATTATATTATTCCATACCAAAAAAATAAAATATTACATATATTAGACCGTAAAATTCAATCTGGTAACTATATATATATATATATATATATTATTAACATATTAAGGGTAACTCGTGCCTGAAGAAAATATACTATTTGAAATCGTCGGATGAACTTATTGAAGTTTGACCTGTTTTATTTTATAGATTATAGGTATAGGACTTTAGTTCTTCGTATAAATATAAATAATTATATATAATTGTACTACTAATAAATAAGTTTAAAAAAAATTAAAAATTCTTATAAAAGAATTCAAAATAAATTGAAATTCAAATAAGTATAAAAAACATAAATTAGATGAAAATATATAAGTGAATATAATTGATTTTATCATAATAATTAGAAATAAAATAAATTTTTTTTAAAAAAAAAAACTAATATTATGGATGGCTTTTAGCCATATGCATCATCCAATTCCGGGAAGGAATTGGAAATGTTTCTGTGAGAATCAAGCAATCGAAACTATTTGCTAAATTCATATCTATAAGCTGTTGTTGTCTTTGTGGTTGGGTGACAGGCCCCTACCCCCAAGGTGGCTCACCATCATCAACCCGATATTATTGATGTCCTATATAGCTTTGACCATAATGAATGATTGGAGTCTACTAACCTTATCCATTTAATATGTCAGAACACACGACGCTATAGGGACGAACTTGGGATGACAGGCACTGAGAGAAACTATGATTCAAAGAATCTTGATAGTGGTTCCATCAACAATTCTTTGTGGCATCATGGGATTCTTTTTATAATGGAAATGTCATATAGTTTTGCAAATTAATATGGAGCTACCAAGTCATTTTTTTGTGGGGGCCAACCGTCCCCACTCAATGATTGTTATAGCAAAGATCTTGTATGTGTTTTGATATGGTTTTGAAGGACAAATTTCAGTTTATCTCCCTCTAGTTTATCTTATTTGCAGATAACCTCTCTGTATATTGAAAATGACACAAAATCCTCCTGTGGTTGTTGGACTACCATTGAACTAAGTGCACCACCAATCTAATAATCACAATACATTATATCTTTAAATTAAGTACACGAAGTACTGTTAGCTTTTCATAATGTAATTGTTATAATTTCCGCTGTTCCACATACAGGAATTCGATTGAGTTAACCATACAGCTAAATGTAATAAAAAATTAATGCTCCGTTTGATATGATAAAAAAGTAAGAGAATAAAAAATTGAAAGAATAGAAATTTAGAGAGATAAATAAAACATTATATTTTGTAAGGGAGGGGAATAAGAACGACGGAAAAGTGGATAGACTACCTTTCCTTCTAACTCACCAAAATCAATTCCTCCAAAATCAGAAAGAAAGTGGATGGAAAGTTAATTATTTGTGTTGAAATGTATCTTATTTGTTTATATATCTTTTGATATATACATATATTATGTATATATTAATTTTATTTATATTTTTATATTTTTTAAAATAAAAATTTTTAAAATTAAAAATTAAAAAATATATATTTATTCTATCTTAGTTAGGGGTAAAATTTTTTGACTCAATACGATGACACGACACGACTCGAACTCGACACGAATTTTATGATACGAACTTGATTATAACTCAACACGAATTCGAAAATAACCTGACACACAAATACAAAATATAAACAATTCATATTCAGTTCAACCCGTCAAACCTAAAATTGACATCATCAACCCGTTTATTTAAAACATTATATTTTGTAAGGGAGGAGAATAAGAACGACGGAAAAGTGGATAGACTACCGTTCCTTCTAACTCATCAAAATCAATCTCTCCAAAATCAGAAAGAAAGTAGATGGAAAGTTAATTATTTGTGTTGAAATGTATCTTATTTGTTTATATATCTTTTGATATATACATATATTATGTATATATTAATTTTATTTATATTTTTATATTTTTTAAAATAAAAATTTTTAAAATTAAAAATTAAAAAATATATATTTATTCTATCTTAGTTAGGGGTAAAATTTTTTGACTCAATACGATGACACGACACGACTCGAACTCGACATGAATTTTATGATACGAACTTGATTATAACTCAACACGAATTCAAAAATAACCTGACACACAAATACAAAATATAAACAATTCATATTCAGTTCAACCCGTCAAACCTAAAATTGACATCATCAACCCGTTTATTTAAAACATTATATTTTGTAAGGGAGGAGAATAAGAACGACGGAAAAGTGGATAGACTACCGTTCCTTCTAACTCATCAAAATCAATCTCTCCAAAATCAGAAAGAAAGTAGATGGAAAGTTAATTATTTGTGTTGAAATGTATCTTATTTGTTTATATATCTTTTGATATATACATATATTATGTATATATTAATTTTATTTATATTTTTATATTTTTTAAAATAAAAATTTTTAAAATTAAAAATTAAAAAATATATATTTATTCTATCTTAGTTAGGGGTAAAATTTTTTGACTCAATACGATGACACGACACGACTCGAACTCGACATGAATTTTATGATACGAACTTGATTATAACTCAACACGAATTCAAAAATAACCTGACACACAAATACAAAATATAAACAATTCATATTCAGTTCAACCCGTCAAACCTAAAATTGACATCATCAACCCGTTTATTTAAGAATAAACATTTTCTCTATTTTATCATTTAAACGATAGCACGAAATTAACATTTTAACTAGTATTATAGATATAAAATGTTAATTATTTGTAACTATTTATTAAGCAATGACATATTATTATATAAAAAATATATTTTTACTCATTATTATTATTATATTTATTTAAGTTAATTTTTAATTCGTAAAACAAATATAAGCATGGATTCAATTAAGTGAAAATAGAATATTAGTGTTAAATTTTTTATTCAAAATTTATGTGAGTCAATACGAATACAAACACGAACACGATACGAAAATAAACAGATCAACTCGACATAAAACAATTAATTAAATGAGTTTCGTTAGGTTTGATTAATATTTGATACGAACCCGCAATGACTTAACACGAACCTCACACGACATCATTCGATTGTAACCCCTAATTTTAGTCAACACAAAAAAAATAATTATTTTTATTTTTCATCCATCCTACCAATCACAGAAGTAAGAATATATATTCTTCCTAGTTTTCATCCTTTCTACTTTTCATCTTTCCCACTAAACGAAATATAAAGAAAATTTTTGAGGCCATTCATCATTTGCCATTTACAGGGTTTCTGATTAGGACAAATATCTTTTGAGTTTGATTCAAGCCTGTTGAGTTTATTTTTTTAAATGAATGTAAAAAATTATAAAAAGAGTCTAGCCAAATCTGAACTGAACTCGAATAGTTCGATTATTTTATATATAAACGAGCCATAATTTTTTATGCTCATTTTTTAAATAAATTTACAAATTTGTTAAAATTTGACTCGTTTAAAAATCGTGTTTTAAACGAGTCAAGCTGAACTTAAGTTCATCCAAGCCCGAACCCAGGTCTCAATTACGTGAGCTTGAGACTTTCTTCCGTGCAGAATCCGAGAAAAACCTATGACGTGTTTTTCCTATTTAAGAAGAAATAGTTTTTGTATTTAAACCCTTAAGACAATAATAGCAGAACAACTCGATGCTTGAGATGGATTTAGATAAAAAAAATGTTATTTAAATTTAATTTATAAACCTAATCACTCTTTACAATTGGATTTACCGTGATCTTTAATTAGAACTCGCTATCAATTCAATAATTATCGTATTTTTATTATTTTTATAATACTTGCAATCGATTCTAAAATAATAAATAATAATATTATACCCCTAAAAAAAATTGGTACCATAGTACAATTGCATCTTGTCATTTTTATTGGTGATTACTTGTAATCCTACTGGCTACGACAATAAGCCAGAATTGTTAATAAGTAAATATTGAGTATAACGATTACATTATAATTGAAATATTATTTGGTATAATTGTCTACTAACAAGCAAATAAGTGGACGTTATCCATTGTGCATTGGGTAATGTTACATCACGTCAATGTTTGTATCACTTTTATAAATGATATATATTTAAATCATAATTTTTGAGTTTTATTTAAATTATATAATATTTTTCTCGTGCATCTGTTCATATTTTTTTAAAATTCTTTTAGGACAAGTGACCTTGGCTTGTAGTTTATTTAATGGCAGAAACAATTTTTGCTTGAAATTATAAAAGCAAATAAATAACAAGGAGGAGAAGATTATGGAAGATAAAAATATTTATGGCCAAACATGTCCCACCTTCATGCTGCCCACATATTTATGGCCAAGCAAGTGCTCTCTCTCTCTCTCTCTCTCTCTCTCTCCCCTCCTCCTCCTAAGCTTCAAACTTCCCACTGTGGTACAACCTCATTTGGGGGAAGAAAAAGCCCCACTGTGCATTATCCAGAAGACAACAAAAGATGTACTAAAAAAGGCAAACAGCTGCCTGAAGGTTTTCGGTGGAAAGATTTTTCCCCATTTTTTTTTTGCGGTTTTTCCACAAACTTTGATGAAGACTTGTCCAACGAGAGGTTTCATTTCATTTCATTTCATTTTCACCATACTAAACGCCTCTTTTCTTTCTTTCTCAAATATGGTAAGCTAGTCAGTTGAATTGGAAATGGAAAAGGAGTAGAAAATAGACCAAAATAAGGGGCTGCAATGCATTCTTACTTAAAATGGGGCACTAATGGTTCTACTGAGTGAGTTGTCTTTTGGAAGCTGAGCAGGAGTTGCAGAATAGAACTGCAAACACAAAAAAAACAAAACAAAACAAGAGAATGATTACCAATCAGCCCTTGTTTGGTAACAAAAAAAAATACGTCTTTAATATGGAAATTGGTGAAAGTTGTCCTTTTGTTTTCACTGGTCCATCACTTTACCTACCTTTTCTTGTTCTCTTCTGAGCTTGGCATTCTCTTCCGTTAAATGTGCTACTTCAAGCTCCAATTCAGTTGTGTAAGCCTGCAGAATAGTCACAACTCACAAGGGTTCCCCAAAAGGAGGACTTCGTAGAAGAAGTCCCCAAAAGGAGGACTTCGTAGAAGAAGGGTCCCCCAAAAGAAGAACTTAGTAGAAGAATATATCAAATTTCATGATTGTCATGTAATTAATTTTATTTTTTTTTGTTAGAGAGCACCCTTAATGCAACGATAAAATTATTTTATTGTAATTTGAAAGTCACGAGTTCGAATAAAAACAATTATTTTTCTTACTATACAAGATTTCATATATCTAATTTCTTTTAAATTCCGACAAGATCTCGTTCAATAGTACGATAATTTTGGGAACACTATTATGTAAAAGAAAAGAAATCAACAACCTAGCTTTAAAAACGTTGTTTCTAACTTGTAGACTTTGTGCTTTGATGCAGAGAGAGAGAAAGGAGGAGAAGGAGGTGGGTGGGGGACCTGTTTTCTAGCTCTGGACCTCGAAGCTGATTCTCTATTCTTTATCATGCGCTTGTGTCTCCGATCACCGGTGTCGTCTCCAATTACCGGAGCCCTTTTCTTGCGCGAAGAAGGAACTGCAACAGTAGAAGAGGTCAAAGCAGCAATAGAAGAGTTCAAGGAAGAGACAGAAGCGGATGTTTCCAAGAAGGCATGATCTCTTTCAAGGTAATTATGAAACTCCGGCACTGAGTTCAAGCTCAAGATAGTGGCCGGAGGTGGTGCCTGAGAGCTAAACGAGTCAAAGGCACCACATCCGGATGAAGAAGCTCTATGGCCACGAGAGTTGTGAACCCTAGTTGGTTGGTCTTCTCTGAGCGGGCTAGGAAAGAAGTCTTGCAGGGCCATATTGTTAAAAGGGTGATGGGTGGTGGAGGCACCGGCAGTGCTGGTAGTGGTGGTTGTTGAGTGGGGGAGAGAGGAGAGGCTGATGTCTTTCCAGACTTCGTCCATTGGTTATCTGTTTGTGGGGCTTGTTGTTGGAGGCAGATAGAGGTGAGAAAGTAGTAGGAAAAGATGTTAGTACAGTTTCTGTTACGAGGATATGATGACCACATTAGAGAGAGAACCTTGCCACAGTGGTCTATGATATCTTTTTCACTGTTAGATGTGTTGGATGAAATTGATTGAAGTTTAGTTTTTTCTTTTCTTTTTTGGATGGAAAAAAAGTTTTTATTCAGGAGCAACGATCTTTCAACTAAAATTTTGATGAATTTGTTGATAAAATTTGTCATTGTGAATGAATTAATAATAAGTTCAATAATCACCGAGGTGATAGTTTAGTTGATTTTAGTAGAGGGTGGTTGTCTCGCCCTCCACCAATAGTCATGGGTTTGAATCCTGCTTACGATATTAGTTTTTAAAAATCAGATCTTGTTATAGGAGTTAAATGTTTAATTTATTTTCAGTGGTGCTATGGTGACGAATTTGACTATCTCATGTTAGTAGTTATAGTTCAAACTGAACATCTTACAGCGGTTGACAACCTCAAGGTGATGTCCTGGGTGTAGTTGCTATTATAATGTTCAAATTTTTGTTTATCTGATCTATTCTGACTCGACCCTACTTAATTGATCAACTTCTACAAAATATCAGCTGACTAATGAAAGATTTTTTAATATTTTATAAAAAATCAGATAAAAATACAAAATACTTACAAAATTTTCGTCTTTCTATTTGACTCACATGAATATTTACTTTCTTTAAAAAATATATACTATGAGCCACATATAAATTGAGGCATACATTAACATAACACACCTCACAAACCCTAAAATCACTATTATGGCCGCCTGAGCCTCTGCTCCTCTCTCCCCTCGATCGAACTTGAAGTCACAAGCCACTAGCATCCATCAAGGAAAAATTACATGATAGTCACGACTAATTAGGGTAATAAATGAGATGTGAATGACAGTATTCTAACTTAAATTGTTAGTCTGTGATATGACTGAATTAGTATCAATATTAATATTAAAATAAAATTTACAACTAATTTAAGAGTAATGTTATACTAATTAAATTTAGAGCTCAAAAGACATGACAGTTAGTTATTTGAAATTTTTATTGAGGTTCAAATGACATAACATCAATCAAAGAAGTTCAAGTCAACCGCTATGTCATTTGAACTCTAAATTTAATCTCAAAATTTGATCAATCTAAAATTACTGCCAATTTAATAGTAATAACAACAAAATAAATTAATGAATAAACTACCTTAAGAAGCTTCATTAGTCCGACAACATGGTCAGTTTTTAAGATTTCAAAACTTCCATTGATTATGCGTGGTGGCTTTCGTAGGGGTCCACCAAGATGCGAACGTCATGTTGTATAGGATCTTGCAATCTGGATATTATATTTTAGTTGTCGGCTTCTGCAAAAAGCAATAATTACATGATAGCTATCTCCTCAAACACACCACCACGTGTTCACTGAACTGTGGAACACGTGGAAATGTGTTTGAGAAAAAAAATTAGATTTTTTTATTTTAATTTTATTTCAACAAATATAATAATAGAAACATAAATTTTAATTGTAAAATTTAAAATGTTTGATATTTTATCTTTGATTAGAGTTTTTTTTATTTAAGTATAATCTTTTAAACTCGAGATACACTAACAGACATGGATGACAGGAGTCAAAGTGTTACGCGCTTACAAACCGTAGTAGATAAATGTGTAATATTTCAAATATTATGGGATCTGAGTGATTAAGTGATAAACTTCATGAAGCCTAAGTGTAATTCTTCCAATATAATTTGAGGTCGATACAAAATTAATAAATTAGAGTTGATCATTTTTCGACATGAAATTATAAATGACACAACATGAGAACATGAATAATAAATAAGTCGTGTTAGTATCAAACACGAATAATACAAAATTGACATGATTAACACGTTTAACTAATATAATCATAAGAATAAAATGTCGAAATTTTGTTATTTTTTTTTATCAAGTATTGCAATAATTCTTATATAATAAAGAGATGTTGTTACTCATTTTTGTTATGGTATTTATTAAATTAATTTTTAGCTTTAAGTGATAATGGAATCTTAGATTTATATCTTAGAATTAAATTTTTTTATTTATGGTTCCATTGGTCAAAAATTGATATTTTTTTAATCTTTTGGGAAGCAAAATTCCATTTGCCAAACAAAAAAAAAAAAGAGAAAAAGTATTGATCAATGACTGAATCTTCGAAGAAGAAATATATCGTCTAAATCTATCGTACGGTCCCTATATTTGGCTTTCCGTACCGTAGTGCTGGCCACCAAGCGCATAAAGCAACAAAAAAAAAATATTATACTTATAAGTTTTTTTTATTTTAAATAATATAATATATTTTTTATTATTAAATATTAATAAAATTTATTTATGTAATGATAAAAAATTATACCGCATTATTTAGGATAAAAATTTAATAAAAAAATTTGATAAATATAACATTATCCAACATAAAATTAGTATGTCGGAATTTTATTCTATTTATCTTTTCACATCAAACGGGGTCAATTTTCCTCTCTTAGCTTTTTTCTTCTTGATTTTGGGGCCCAATGAATCACACTACAAGAACAACTGCTTCCTAATCCACAACTTGCCAAAATATCGAGGGTTGGATGGGTACAGATCCTCTCATGTTATATAAAAAATAGCACAACGTGCTATTAGGCAAAAACGTTGTCGTTTTATGACGTCGGATGCAGTAAAGATAAGACTGATAATTGAACGAGTTTACGTTGAGCTCATTTTTTTAAAAGGATTTATTTTGAGAAAAAAATAATTTTAAAGTGTCGTCTCTATTATGTTGTAAACAATGTCATATTTTAATATACTAGTTGACGTACACGTATGTTGCACGTGAATCATTATGTATTATCATTATGTTTAACATTTTCTGATATGGATTTGTAGATTATTTGTTTAAAATTTGACTATCTTGATAATTTTATCACTTTTTAAATAACCTTAAGGAAGATTTGAAAAGATTAAAGAGAAAAATTATGGAGACATACACTATGCCTAGCTAGTTGTCCTCTATAGATTCTAAGCACCTTGAAGGATTTGTAAGCACACTTCAATGATCTCATGTAAAAACTGCTACAATTTTAGGAGTAGGCTTAAGTTTTCTCAAGGAATTAACACTTCAACAGGATCTTCAATATTCCAAATTTATCTCTCATCCATACAGAGGCACCTTTTACATGGGGGACTTCCTCGAGAAGGGAAATGTTTTATTAATCTTATAGTATATGGTTGTGTGATTTCAATTGTAAAAATCCTATTTTATTTTATTTGACAATAGTTTTAAGGATAACTAAAACCAAACACTCACTATATAAAGTGTTTTGGATACGTAAAACAATGTGTCAAATCTTCTCTTCGTCTTTCCATTCCAAGTTCAGGAGTCTAAAAAACATAATAATAATAATAATTAATAGCACGCAAAGTGATAATTAAAATTTAAAAGGAAAACTATTAATTATAACCCGCAATCAATCGAAGAGTGACAAGATCTTTGGGCTTGGCCATGAACTTTTCTCTTCCCTTGGGTTACTTTTGTGATATGAGGATTAGGTTTTACAAATATAGTCAAAAATCAAAATTAAAACCACAATTAACTAAAAAATGCAATTCACAAAAGGAAATGTACATAAAACATATATACATATCGATATATGACACCTCCAGTCATATTTTTATTTGACTACTCTTTGTAAAAAATTCTTTAGACAAATTCTGGCATAACCAGAATATCAAAAATTTCAGACCTACACAATACAAACATCATTGGTAAGAAGCTGCAAAACATCGTAACGTCTCATGATGAAGAAGAAGAAGAAGACGAGAAGAACCCAATCATTATGGAAGAATATAGAACATGGAATTACTTCCAAGTAAGAAATATAGAACATGGAAACCTAGAGAGTCTAGTTTCTATATAAATGAGTTACATTATGGGGTATTAGATTGACTTTAAAACATCAACTTAATATTTGTTGTTAGAATTTGTAAGTTCTAACATTATGTGTATTAATTGTATCTCTCATTGTCTATTTCTTTACCAGGCTGATGGATATAGATATAAATTTTGAGGAGGATAAACATGACATAATTGTAGTGTTGGAGGGTAAAAGAGGAAAAAAAATATTTTTCATGTATGTTGATATGTTCAAGTAGTATATACACATTTTTATAGTTTATAAATATATTTAAGAAGAAAGTAGAAACTCCAAAAAAAAAAAAAATATATATATATATATATATATATATATATATATATATATATATATATATATATATATATATATATTTAAGCCAAATTAAGGAATAATTGTCTTTTAAGACAAGATCAAGATCATTTAAGGACAAAATTAAAATTAATGGTTAAAATTAATTATTAATGTTCAAATGAATATAATTAAATGTTAAATTTATGCACATAATTAATTTAAGAAGATGAAAAGATATAAGAAGATTTTGTAATTAATTGAATAAAATAAAAAGAAATAAGAGAATATGATTAGGAGTCGTACTTGGATCGGATTCTATTACAAATCTCTCACATATTAAAGTCCTCATTTTTTATTGTTGGGTCGAACTGCCAAATCCTCTTGAAGTTTTATACAATTTTAAACAACTCTAGAATCTGTTGCCCAATATTTTATTATGCCCTTGACGTGAATCAAAAGCATCGATAATCTATATCTATAATATAAAGTAGAACGGATTTCAATAAGCTCATTTGACGATTTTAAATAAATTCATCTAACGGTCACCAATATCCCTCTCAAAATCATTTATATTATATCATGTCTTCAAACACGAGTTATCTCAGTAAGATTATAATCTATGCAAGCAAGCAAGCCAATGTTATCAAATTAGTCTAAAACAAAATCATAAACCTACATAGCTTAAATTTGCTTTTTTCATTGGTGACTGTTAGAATTCAGCAGATTTTTGTGGAAAACATATGATTATAGTTTACCCAAGATTTTGTCCACAAGCATGGATCTAATATGATCCTAACTTGAAAAGATAATTCATCAAAAAAAAAAAACCCAAATTCGTGGGAATCGATTATTCTGCTGTTAATTTTTAACAACA